GATGAGAGAGGTAAAATTCTGATTTCTCTGATCTTTCAGTTTACTTCTGGCGATTTGACTCAAAACAGTAATTTATATACCCATCCAAATCCTTGCCTATTATTTCATCGCGTTGTAAAAATTATGAAAATTTTTGAAATTTACAAATTTTAAGAATGAAAATTTTGGATATTTTTGGCATGGAACTTTTAAAATATAAATGAATTTGATATTTGCCACCCCATGTTACAAGCTATTTTACCGCGCCGCAACAAAAACATGCATTTTTTCAACGTGTACAAATTATTGCCAACCCCTCTCTTTTATCAAAATGAGACTATTCAATTAGCTCAAGTCCCTCGGTATTGGGCAATAAATCTGGTAGATAACTCTACCATGGAATGGAACAATCCTGAAGAGTCGGGGCGTAATCTCGAAATAAAGACATCCTGTCAAAGTAGTCCACCTATACAGTCAATTTTGGAGAAAACTTCCTTTGGTCAAATTATGAAAGGCTTGCCACTCTTAGATTGTCAAGTAACATTCGTTCCTCCGGCGCCATTCTTCCTTCGACAACTACGAGATAACCTTTGGGTTACTTCTTCCTCTGAACCATTTCATTGTTTGATGATTCCAGGATCCGAATATTCGACACTTAGACAACAAGCATGGAACTCAAATCAGCATATAACTTTACCGCTCATTGCTCTTGTGAATGTAACTCCAGGATATACAATCGCATGTCCTGGATATACTTTAGTGGGCAATCCCATACCTTCAAGTTCTCCTTCACTCGTAATCTGATACAATAGTTGTTTTCTGCTGAATAGCATTTCTATCGTGAATGTTTATAAGCATCTTCATGGTTTCATACTAAGCCAAGTGGCAATATTATTAAACGCATGCGTGAATCAATGATAAATTCTCTCAATGAGCTGTATTATCCTACGCACACACACGGTGTTCTAGTGCGTCAATAGTGAACTGGATACTTTTAGCATTAGTCTCTGGTGTTGTGACATATTATATCTATCAACACAAGCGGAAAACCATTCTAGGGAGTATCTAATTATTCGACTCTCCTGAACAAATGATGGAACTGCACTGGATATTGGCATACTTTTACACACCAAAAGAGTTAAATTTGCATCGGTTTTTCGAATCGATTAGTGTGTACATCCAATCCTACACATTTTTTTACTCGTTATAATTTTCCGATCATGTATTTATGTCTGATTGTCGCTACGAACAATCACGCGATTAACCGTTCGGTTTTTACCTTCGTTAACTTTTTTTGTTGTAGTTTGTTCTCGTTCACATTATCACTATTGTCTCTAAAGAAGACTTATCTGTATATTAGCTTTTCGCCTGATCTATTCGTTGGAACTCATTAATGCTTNATTGAACGCTTATATACTCATTTTCAACACTCATTTCTCTACTCAGCAATTACCCGAATTTTTCGTAACGATCTCACACTTGAATTTCTCTCACCGGAAGATTTAAACATCATAGTATTCGATGTTTTGCAACACGGAAATTTAACATTTAATTCTCATTATGGAGCGCTGCCAATGGTGCAAATTGTTACAAACCTACTTGTCCGTCAACAGTTGGACTTCGTCTCGAGCTCGCAATACACACCCACAAATCCACATGAAATTGGTCGTCTTATCATTACAAGCTATTTTGCTGTGCCACAACAAAAACATTCATTTTTCAACGTGTATAAATTATTGCCGATCCCTTTTTTTTATCAGAATGAAACTATTCAATTAGCTCAAGTCCCTCGGTATTGGGCAATAAATCTCGTAGATAACTCTACCATGGAATGGAACAATCCTGAAGAGTCGGGGTGTAACCTCCAAATAATGACATCTTGTCGAAGTACTCCACCTATACAGTCAATTTCGGAGAAAACTTGCTTTGGTCAAATTATTAAAGGCTTGCCACTCTTGGATTGTCACGTAACATTCGTTCCTCCGGCGCCATTTTTTCTTCGACAACTACGAGATAACCTTTGGGTTACTTCTTCCTCTGAACCATTTCATTGTTTGATGATTCCAGGAGCTGAATATTCGACACTTAGACAACAAGCATGGAACTCAAATCAGCATATAACTTTACCACCCATTGCTCTTGTAAATGTAACTCCAGGATATACAATCGCATGTCCTGGATATACTTTAGTGGGCAATCCCATACCTTCAAGTTCTCCTTCACTCGTAATCCGATACAATAGTAGTTTTCTGATGAACAACATTTCTATCGTGAATGTTTATAAGCATCTTCATGAAAATACTTCATGGTTTAATACTAAGCCAAGTGACAAACGAATTGACAATATTATTAAACGCATGCGTGAATCAATGACAAATACTCCCAATGAACTGTATTATCCTACACACGCACGGTTTTCTAGTGCGTCAATAGTGAATTGGATACTTTTAGCATTAGTCTCTGGTGTTGTGGCATATTATATCTATCAACACAAGCGGAAAACCATTCTAGGGAGTATCTAATTATTCGACTCTTCTGAACAAATGATGGAACTCCACTGGATATTGGCATACTTTTACACACCAAAATAGTTAAATTTGCATCGGTTTTTCGAATCGATTAGTGTGTACATCCAATCCTGCACATTTTTTTACTCGTTATAATTTTCCGATCATGTATTTATGTCTGATTGTCGCTACGAACAATCACGCGATTAACCGTTCGGTTTTTACCTTCGTTAACTTTTTTTGTTGTAGTTTGTTCTCGTTCACATTATCACTATTGTCTCTGAAAAAAACTTATCTGTATATTAGCTTTTCGCCTCATCTATTCGTTGGAACTCATTAATACTTTTCCACTTGNGCACATTTTTTTACTCGTTATAATTTTCCGATCATGTATTTATGTCTGATTGTCGCTACGAACAATCACGCGATTAACCGTTCGGTTTTTACCTTCGTTAACTTTTTTTGTTGTAGTTTGTTCTCGTTCACATTATCACTATTGTCTCTAAAGAAGACTTATCTGTATATTAGCTTTTCGCCTGATCTATTCGTTGGAACTCATTAATGCTTTTCCACTTGTATGAACGTGTTCATATGGTTCATTCTTATTTATTTCGGAAAAATATTGAGAAAGGACAAAACCGAGACCAGGGAACGTCCTTTTACCGTGAATGTTTATTATCAATATTTCTTTTGTCGACATTTGTAAACTTTTCATTTCAAATATATCGATTTTCGTTAGTTTTCTGTTTTGATGCTATTGGTACATGTCAAATCACTTTTGATGAGGTATAATAAAAGAAAAAAAATATTCCTACTCTTGCTCATTTTGCATATTGTATTATTATCTTGATTGATTACACTTCTATCTCAAGCCCATTTTTAAATCAAACGTCCGATTAAAGCTAGGCAAATTTCGTCATACTAAGAATGATGTATTTTTCTTTCAGAAAAGAGTCAGCGAATCCAAAGGATGAGCGTTACTTGTAATATATTCTGAGGAAATACAGACTTCATAATCAATAATTGGTTTTTAAAACGTGGACAACATATTCATAGCAGCATGTCGATCCCAAATATTTATGCATACATCAGAAAAATATTGATTCCTCATGTGTGAATCCATGTCTAGCACCAAATCGTTGTCTGATGAAGTTAAATAAATATTCCAATTGATAGCGCTTGTGCGATAGTTGGGATTCGATGAACGAATGAAATTAACCCAATAGAGAATCATATCTCTGGCCAATTCCTGTTCAGATGTGGTCAATTTGTAGTGCGGATATAATAGTGAAAGTATTGATGGGAAAAACATGGTAAGTTCGGCAGTATGTGAGACGCCAAAACATGTTGGTGCAACAGGTAGTATATAGTTATATGTATAGAAGTATGATGATAGTCCATAGTCGGAGAACCTGGCTGCCATACGTCTGGACCCACAATGTGCCCACGAATCACTATACACTATATTAACATAAGTCAATGGATTTTTGGAAGCAGAAATTGGCCCATATACAGTAGGAATTTCATTCAGAATAGTCGAATTATAGATTGTACTGAGAAATGTTTCCATTTGTGTCCTATTGGCGGTCCCATTAAATATGGGACAGACGAGAGATGATGTTTCGTTCGTATTCGATCCTATCAATAAGGGAACTTTGTGAAAATCTCCTTTGGCAAGTTTATTTTCCATGAAATCATCAATAACATAATCGTCAATTACGGGCATAGTAATGACACCAGTATTATGCTTGGATACGACGTCCTGAATTTCAAGTATACGATCAACACTTAGATTTCGCATACATTGTGTCGTGGTACAATTGGTCAAAGCTCGTAAAAAGTTCCCGCTATTATTCAATGCATTGTCGAGGGTACTAATTACGTTGGGCCATATCGCACCACTTTGTATGATAGCTCGTTGAAGTGTTTGATGACTAACTAATGATGACATTAGCAGAATAGTTACACTCACGCCACCTGCACTTTCGCCTCCGATTGTGATTTGCTGGGGATCACCACCAAAGCCATGTATGTTCTTCTTTATCCAATTCAGTGCCATGACCTGGTCGAGAATACCATAATTACCAGTAGTACTCTGATTACCGATGCCAGACCTTTCGTTATACAAATCTTTATCTGCCATAAATCCAAGCAAGCCTAATCGATAATTGATTGTTACAACAACGACAGGAACAGAGTAATTAATGCTTGTGCTAACCAAAAAGCTTGCATCGTAATAGACACCAGCTCCTATAGTAAATGCGCCACCATGAATCCACACATACACCGGTGAATTATTTGCTTGTGCCGGCGCATAGACATTCAAAGTTAAACAGGATTCAGTCGTAGAAACACCATATATATAACTCTGAGGACAAGCATTAGCATTGTATGCTCGTTTAGTATGATTAGATGTAGGAAGTGTTTGAGGTGGCATCCATCTCAAACGACCAATTGGCTGTTGTGCATAGGGTATGCCGTACCAATAGTTGATTAACGTATTATTGTATGCTTTTTGGCGACCAAGATACATCCCTTGATCTGTTTGAGCTATGGGCGGTGTAGCTTTGCCAATAGATACTGCTGGTACCACCAACAATAAAGCGTGCAATAGTAGCAAAATTAATTGCAGCATTGTTCTGAAAGCGTCAAAGCTTTGATTCTTTCCTCAGATGTATACACCTGCAAAGTATGTTGATATTATTGTTAACGTAAGTTTACCTTTTGGAAATTTATCTTGCACGAAGAACCATGTGATTGCGTTATCATATTTGTTATTGTCTCATTCAATATATCTCTCAAGTAAGTAAATCTTGTTTTGTTGAAATTCTAGAATGAAAATCGAATTCTAACTATTATATTACCCGCATCGTTATACTATACGAATCATGGCCTAATATTCAGTTAAAACTATTGATTGATAGCGTGACAATTCTACGTAGGTCCTTTGGAATCCGACTACTGAGTATTCGATCAATGGAAACAAATATATCTTGGTAATAACTGACTATTACACGACGTATGTTGTTGCTCATCCTGTACCTGATAATTCCGCTATAACTGCAGCGCGCTGTTTTGTGGAACAATTTGTTTTCAAATATCGTATTCCACGACGATTAATTACAGACCAAGGAATCCATTTTAAAAATGAATTGATGAAAAATTTAACAACATTGCTCGGAATACATCATATTCACACATCGGCATACCATCCACAGGGAAATGGGTTAGTAGAGAGGTTCAATGGTACTTGTCATCCTCAATTGGCCAAACTTCATAATGTTGAATTAAACAATTGGGATGAGTATTTAGCTCCGGTTATATATGCTTACAATACAGGTATACAAAACAGTACTGGGTATAGTCCATTTCAATTAATGTTTGGAAGAAATTCTAATTTACCACTCGATCATACATCTACTACATTTATTTTACAGCGAACGAATGATTATTAGCATAAGCTATTGAAATGTATGAAATTTTATTGTGAATCAATTCGGCATCGTACAAATATGCAACAGAGACGATCAAAACAGCGTTTCGACAAGAATCGTAAGGATCCTAACTATAATATACATGATTTAGTGTTATGGAAAGTACCTTGTCGTCATGCCAAATTAGCTGAAAGATTTTCTGGTCTTTTCGAGATCATCAACGAACAGCATCCATCGTATACAATTTAAGATACACAATCATTAGCAATTAAACAAGTTCATGTTAGTGATTTAAGAGCTATTTACAATCGTGATGGCTTCCCAGGTCGAACAATCCCATACTCGGATCCGAAACATGAATTTCCTGGATTTTCTAAGGGTTATCATAGAACATCGCTAAAAAGATCGCTCATAAAATTTGCAGCAACGGACGGGATTTTTCTCGTCGAATTCCAATGCAATTCCATTTTCAGGAATCCGATCGGATCCAGCATCGGATTTGTTGACCTGGGGAGTATCATTTATCCTGGGCCACCCGTTACAAAAACCATGCGTAATCTAAAAAACGAGCCATTTCAGAAACCTACTACCACAGAAACGGTTTTTTCGTATATGTGATGATTATAAACCGCTCCAAGGTTTATGTAAAGTTGTGAAAAAGAGAAGGCTTCTGTGTTATACTGTTTTTTTTACAGTGTTTGTTGATACGCAAAATAATTTTCAGAAAGGAAGTGTATAGTTCCTTTAATGTGATTATTCATGGAAGGTCAACTGATTTGCATATCGTCAATGAGGCAATAATGCAAGCTAAAGTAATTTTGAAGTGAATGCGAAGTAAAGTAAATATGTGACACTTGATACGACGAAATAAAAATGAGGAACTGGCACAAAACGATTTCTTGGTATAAAAGTCCTATTGTAAACGCTTGGTTTTATTAAATTCGTTCTCTTTCAATTTATTTTGAAGCAACAAAATATATCATGAAGGTCTCTCATTTTTTCTTTCCCATTCTACTATTCAACGTCTGTTTCTATGGCTGGATTCGTGCTCAAAGTGTAGACTTGACATCGTGCGTCAGTGGGCAATGGGTAGCTTGTGGTATTTCTGTGGGTACAGCAATTTACAAGAAGTATAACTCATGGAGTGATATCGACGAAAAACCGGCTTTTGGTACAGTGTGCAAATCACAATTCAAAAGTGGTTTTTACGATTGGAAGTGGGTGTGGAGTGGCAAGTTCTGGTGTCCATCATTAAGTGCAGTTATCATGGGTGAAAGTACAAAATGGAAAAGTCGAGATGGAGCTATTGAACATGCTATTCAAGATTACGTTACGAAAATGACATCAGCTGGGTTGCTGAAACCACCACAGCTTATTGATATACCACGTAAGAATTGTCTAATCATACTTTAACATTGTTCTACAGTATGAAAAGTAGTAATTTATTCGGATTATGAGATGGCAAAAATTCAGCAATCCTCTTTAAAGCCGTTACTCTCTTATTAGCGTCCCTATTTTAAGAAGTATTCTCGCTCACATGTTGTATAAACAGTTTTATGATCAGACTTAGGCTCTTTTTTCTGTTTGGTGAACTGTATGAGCTACTTGTAGACAGCGAGACATGGCAGAAAATAAGCCCAAAACCGTTTATCTGTTGTTGTCAATTCCGTTTCACTTTTCAATACTTCATCTTTCGTTAATTGATACTGATACTAGCACTATCAAAGCTACATCTATGACAAATTCAAATGACATCTGTCACAGAACGGTGTGAGTGTTGATTAGATGAAAAAGAGGCAAGCACACTCGCATCCACATCCGATACCCTCAGCATATCGGATCTTACTTTAGAAAGGTCTGTAGTCTTTTTATAAGTAACTTTCGAAGCGATCACATTATGAGTAAAATAAAGTGTTCGACGTATCCTTTCAAATATTTACACTTTGTTTAGATGGACTAGTTCCATTCCATCGTTATAGTCAGGGTGCTTATAATCATTTCTATACCATAAATCCAAATGAAATTGGCACCATTACTCCTGGCAGCACCGGTCTTGGCAATTNAATATTTTGTCGTTTTTTCGTCATCGTGTTACGACATAAGTTTCATCGACTACTTTCAAGCGACTTGTAAAGACAAACTGATTTTTTTCATATATCTATAGTGCGATTAGGGACGCATATATGAGCGAAGAAGTAAGCTTTTTATGCTTGTTAGTGTATGAGAAAAAACGAAAATATTCTGGCCAAAACGTCATCGCGTCACGCGCGTTTAAGCCGATATATATTCCTCATAGTATACATTACTGCGTATTTCGACTCAGGTAAGGGCAGTCTCTTTCTCTCATTCATTTTATTTTTGGGTACTCAAAAAGTGAGTACATTCTAGCAGTGAGGATGAAGATGAGTTTAATAGAGGAGTTCCAAATTACTCACGCGACGATCGTTTCTTGAGGGTAATGGTGAATGTAAGATAGTTGTAATAGAAACTGGACGGAAGAATTACAGTAGGCAAAATAACTCATTTTCGTTATTAATTTACTAATGGCCAGTAATTTCAGTAAAAAAATGATTCAGATCGAGATTTCAACTGAGAGTGTCAGGTCAAGTGAGATTCTCATATAAGTGATACATTTTTCTCTAAGTTGCAAATTTGCGTCAATAAAGTTGTAGAAACGGAACACTTTCATGTGAATCTTGAATATCTTTTTTGGACTAGATATTGATTCGGGTTCACCAGCTCGTTAAATGGATTCGTTTCGTCGGTTGTTTAAGGATATATATGACTTTGTTTCACAGAGACAACCAAAACTTTGTACAGAACAAAGCCGCTTAACACACAAACACTATTTTTGTGTTGAACAAGAGCTCATAGTTTATCAAGTCAAAATCAATCGCTCAAATTACATGAACTAGATAGTTGCGTCGAAAGAACAATTACTTTGATCTGGCGATATCACGATTTCTCTCGTTATCTTTTAAAGTATCGCCAAGTTTATTGCAAATTTCAGTAAAAACGTTAGAAGCACGGAAAACTTGAATATTTTTCGAAAAAAATCTCCAAAATGAATATACTTGATTCAGTTTTCTTATTCTAGCGGAGTAAATGCTCGTTTGCATCGAATACTGTATATGTAATATGCTGTTCTTCTAATCGGAACTACGTTAAATTTCAATGATTTTTGAATATTGGCTGAAAATTTGCGTCTACACGAGAGGTATCCAAAAAAAATCACAACAATACATCACTAAAACTAAGAATCAATGTTCAATATCCTCTTCAGTCATTCTCATTGATTTAGTTACGAAAGAACACTAAGGATACCGAGACACCGTTGAGAATAACTTGGACAAAGATAGTAATGTTATTACAAACTGAAGTTGACTGTGCTTGAGGGTGAAAAAAGCTGCCGTGACTCATTGCTCCAGTTGTAATTTATCTGTGTAAGGTGTTCTTCCTCTATCTTAAAGGTCATGCTTTGTTTTCTGCTGCTACTATTCCGACTGCTATTCTTCCCATTCGAGTCCACATTCCTCAATCCGCTGACAAGTGCGTATTAGAAGTCGGGTACAAAAAAAAATAATATAAGCTAAATCGATCGAGTCTATATTTGTATTTCAGTGTTTATTTGATCTGTTTTCTCTAATTTCCAACTCTTTGTTCTAATTTTATTCCATCTATCTATTTATTTTACTCGCTGTTCCGCTCATACGAGCAGATGATCCTGTCTCAGATCTGCATTGAGAAACAATCATGCTTTATTTCACAACTTCATGTACTCCGAAAGTACTCGCGAAATATACACAAGTAATATCAGCCAAAGACCTGCAGAGCACACTTGATGTGTTCATTGAAGCAACTGAATAAAATGAACAGCCATTCAAATAAATAGTGTTTTCCATCTAATCGAACAAATCTTTAGTATATCTTCGAGCCTTGAAGCCGCTTTCACGTCTGATGAGCTTCGTAGAGGAATCAAACTTTTAAAACCGTGACTGCCGATCTCACCCTCACACCCTTAATAAACATAAGCAACTAATCACCAGTTCAATAATTTTATTCGTTTTATCAATATCTTATCGGATCATTTCTTTACTTCCTTCCTGCTTGTACACGAGTATATTCCAAATAATTGCGCAATACGGCTCGAAAACGTTTCGATATTTGTCAACTATCTAAACTAACAAACATATTGTGAAATTTTGTCTAATTTTGAAAAGCGATGTTTAGAATGAACTAATGCATTAATTAACGATCTTGCGCGGTAATCGTCGTCGGATATTTTATGCTTCCATAGAGAAGTGGATTGAGGAGCAGTAGTCTTTGTGAAATGTTACGAAGACGCACGATATCTGCTTAGAAGAATTTGTATATATGGATCGCGACTATGTGCAGTAAGGTTTATGCTGCCGTCCGTACCTTTATAGAAGAGCGCGTGTATAGGATAGCTAGAAAGAAAAACAAAAACTAATGAAGAAAAAAAGAAATAAATAGAAAAGAAAAAAGAGAACGAAAGAAACACAACATGATTCATTCGCATAGACAATTATATATTCAAGAGTATTGTTAACATTTCGATAGTTACGAACGAATCTAAAGGTAAAGCGAAATACAGGTAAATTTATATCTTTCTCTACTTTAGCTTGAAATCGTAAAGTACGTGAAAAGTATACTACACGCCAATTTTACTGCTCTCCAAGATTCAATATTCTTTTGGAAAAAAGTTTTTTTATCAGACGAAAATGTGTTCACTTGATATTGCAAACTTCAAGGTTTTTTGTTTCTGCTCTGCCTAAATAGTCGGAAAACGAGAAAAAGCTACGTTTATTTGTACATTCACTTCTTCGGCTAATATTTATGTGAGAATAGATATGGATAAAATTCTGTGCTCGTTATTATTATGAATGCTGGTTATGTTTTAACTTTTTGTTATAGCGAAAAACAATATCTGATTCCCGTTTCTAGAATTTATCATTATGTTGGAAGACACTATTTACTTTGCAGAAATAAAATCTATTTTTTTCTCGCTTTTAAGTCATCTCAATTCGACTGATTCAGTCGCCTAAGGTGCATGACTAATGTGTATACAGTTAGTAGAAAAGAAAAGGAGAAATAGAAAACAGGATGCTATTGAGTGGGTCTCATTCTGTATTTCGTCAACATTATTTTCGTGAGAAAGACTGGGGAAATCAGCAGAACCACCAATCGGAGAATATATCCTATTCTAGGACCTGTGTGAACGTGCTTGTATGTTGATTGATCATATTTATCGTTCGTTATAGTAGCAATACCATCATGTGTGTTCATTTTAGTATCGGGTGAAAACCAATTTACTTGTTTTATTTCTATTTGTGAAAATTCATATAGTTCCGGAGCAAACCAATCTACTCGTATTACTAGGTGTAAGTCTTTCTTAGCTTCAATATGCCTGCTCTGCGTATACATATTATAAAATTCCATCTATTTATCTATTTACTCAGCATTTTACTGACAATGTCACAGAATGTTGTTGCTGGTTCATACATCATCTACAACGTTGGAAACGTTGAACCTGGTCTGATAGACAACGTAAAGAAGCAAATAACTGATGCTGGAGGAAGAATCACTTATGAGTATTCATCGGTCATGAAGTAAATGAAGACCCTCTTTCTGATTTAAAAATATACCAATTGATTTTAGTGGATTCGCTGTATGTAATACTCCACATCATGTAATTCAGGCGATCGAAAGAGATTTCGGTGACAAATTTATCATCCAGCCAGATAGTATACAACAATTGCATTAATACGAATCGAAAACGTGTTCGTTCTGACGATATCGATTTTCAAAAGAAGAAAACTGACAAAGTGAATTCTATTTGCACAAATTGATTTTAACGCATCGTTTTCTTAGTTTGCTTCTCTAAAAATATTTATTCACTCCTACAAAAATGAAGTTTCCTCATGTTTTGATTTACGAGATACGGTATGAGGGTGAATTATACAAAGAACACCACGAGGCGTTTTGTTCTTTCTTAAGGGACTCGACAGGTAGCTTTGGCACCGCATAATCTTCTATATTTGAAATCGAAGGACCGAACGTGCAGTGTTCAATTGTAGAAGCTTAAACAAAGCAGAGAATTCTTTCGTAATAGGGTGATCATTATACAGAAGAACCGCCACAACCAGTTTGGAGTGACTTTTCTGCTAGTCTTTCTTGTGCTGCAAGAGGATTGTGCGCTCAAAGCGATCAAGTTCAAGATGCTATGATCCGAATGAGATAGTGACATGTGCAGAGGGGACAGGATTTGGCAACGAAGAAAACGAAAGTAAGGTTTAGATTCTACTGAAGAAGAGAAGGAGCGAATGTGACATAGATGCAGAAAACTGGAGAAAGCCGTGGTTTCAGGAAAAATGTGTCTATGGATTGATGATTGCAATTTCGAGTCGCGGAAAATAATATACCATTCGTTCTCTTTCTCGTAGAAAAGAGTCTTACGTTCGACAACAAGCATGGAACTCAAATCAGCATATAACTTTACCGTCCATTGCTCTTGTAAATTTAACTCCAAGATATACAATCGCATGTCCTGGATATACTTTAGTGGGCAATCCCATACCTTCAAGTTCTCTTTCACTCGTAATCCGATACAATAGTAGTTTTCTGATGAATAACATTTCTATCGTGAATGTTTATAAGCATCTTCATGAAAATACTTCATGGTTTAATACTAAGCCAAGTGACAAACGTATTGACAATATTATTAAACGCATGCGTGAATCAATGGCAAATCCTCCCAATGAACTGTATTATCCTACACACACACGGTTTTCTAATGCGTCAATAGTGAACTGGATACTTTTAGCATTAGTCTCTGGTGTTGTGGCATATTATATCTATCAACACAAGCAGAAAACAATTCTAGGCAGTATCTAATTATTCGACTCTTCTGAACAAATGATGGAACTGCACTGGATATTGGCATACTTTTACACACCAAAATAGTTAAATTTGCATCGTTTTTTCGAATCGATTAGTGTGTACATTCGATCCTGCATATTTTTTTACTCGTTATAATTTTCCGATCATGTATTTATGTCTGATTGTCGCTACGAATAATCATGCAATTAACCGTTCGGTTTTTACCTTCGTTTACTTTTTTTTGTTGTAGTTTGTTCTCGTTCACATTATCACTATTGTGTCTAAATAAAACTTATCTGTATATAAGATTTTCGCCTCATCTATTCGTTAGAACTCATTAATGTTTTTCCGCTTGTACGGACATGTTCATATGGTTCATTCTTATTTATTTCGGGAAAATATTTGAAAACGGGCAAAATCGAGACTAGGGAGCGTGCTTTTACCGTGAATGTTTATTATCAATATTTCTTTTGTCGACATGTGTAACCTTTTCATTTCAAATATATCGATTTTCGTTAGTTTTCTGTTTTGATGCTATTGGCACATGTGAAATCACTTTTGATGAGGTATAATAAAAGAAAAAGATCTTCCTATTTTTGCTCATTTTGCATATTGTATTATTATCTTGATTGATTAAGACAGTGAATTGTGATTAATTACGATTCAATCTCAAGCCCATTTTTAAATCAAACGTCAGATTAAAGCTAGGTAGATTTCGTCATACTAAAAATGATGTATTTTTCTTTCAGAAAAAGGTCAGCGAATCCAAAGGATAAGCGTTACTTGTAATATATTCTGATGAAATAAAGACTTCATAATCAATAATTGGTTTTTAAAACGCGGACAACATATTCATAGCGGCATATCGATCCCAAATATTTATGCATACATCAGAAAAATATTGATTCCTCATGTGTGAATCCATGTCTAGCACCAAGTCGTTGTCTGATGAAGTTAGATAAATGTTCCAATTGATAGCGCTTGTACAATAGTTGGGATTCGATGAACGAATGAAATTAACCCAATAGAGAATCATATCTCTGGCCAATTCCTGTTCAGATGTGGTCAATTTGTAGTGCGGATATAATAGTGAAAGTATAGATGGGAAAAACATGGTAAGTTCGGCAGTATGTGAGACGCCAAAACATGTTGGTGCAACAGGTAGTATATAGTTATATGTATAGAAGTATGATGATAGTCCATAGTCGGAGAACTTGGCTGCCATACGCCTGGACCCACAATGTGCCCACGAATCACTATACACTATATTCACATAAGTCAATGGATTTTTGGAAGCAGAAATTGGTCCATATACAGTAGGAATTTCATTCAGAATCGTCGAATTATAGATTGTACTGAGAAATATTTCCATTTGTGTCCTATTGGCGGTCCCGTTAAATATGGGACAGACGAGCGATGATGTTTCGTTTGTATTCGATCCTATCAATAAGGGAACTTTGTGAAAATCTCCTTTGGCAAGTTTATTTTCCATGAAATCATCAATAACATAATCGTCAATTACGGGTATAGTAATGACACCAATATTACGCTTGGATGCAACGTCCTGAATTTCAAGTATACGATCAACACTTAGATTTCGCATACATTGTGTCGTGGTACAATTGGTCAAAGCTCGTAAAATGTTCCCGCTATTATTCAATGCATTCTCAAGGGTGCTAATAACGTTGGGCCATATCGCACCACTTTGTATGATAGCTCGTTGAAATGTTTGATTACTAACTAATGATGACATTAGCAGAATAGTTACACTCACGCCACCTGCACTTTCGCCTCCGATTGTGATTTGCTGGGGATCACCACCAAAGCCATGTATGTTTTTCTTTATCCAATTCAGTGCCATGACCTGGTCGAGAATACCATAATTACCAGTAGTACTCTGATTACCAATGCCAGACCTTTCGTTATACAAATCTTTATCTGCCATGAATCCAAGCAAGCCTAATCGATAATTGATTGTTACAACAACGACAGGAACAGAGTAATTAATGCTTGTGCTAACCAACAAGCTTGCATCGTAATAGACACCAGCTCCTATATTAAATGCGCCACCATGAATCCACACATACACCGGTGAATTATTTGCTTGTGCCGGCGCATAGACATTCAAGGTTAAACAGGATTCAGTCGTAGAAACGCCATATATATAATTCTGAGGACAAGCATTAGCATTGTATGCTCGCTTAGTATGATTGGATGTAGGAAGTGTTTGAGGTGGCATCCATCTCAAACGACCAATTGGCTGTTGTGCATAGGGTATGCCGTACCAATAGTTGATTAACGTATTATTGTATGCTTTTTGGCGACCAATATAGATCCCTTGATCTGTTTGGGCTATGGGCGGTGTAGCTTTACCAATAGATACTGCTGGTACCCACAGTAAAGCGTGCAATAGTAGCAAAATAAATTGCACCATTGTTCTGAAAGCGTCAAAGCTTTGATTCTTTCCTCAGTTGTATACACCTGCAAAGTATGTTGATATTATTGTTAATGTAAGTTTACCTTTTGGAAATTTATCTTGCACGAAGAACCATGTGACTGCGTTATCATATTTGTTATTGTCTCATTCAATATATCTCTCAAGTAAGTGAATCTTGTTTTGTTGAAATTCTAGAATGAAAATCGAATTCTAACTATTATAATACCCGCATCGCTATACTATACGAATCATGGCCTAATATACAGTTAAAACTATTGATTGATAGCGTAACAATACTGCGTAGGTCCTTTGGAAATAGTGTCTATGGATTTTTGGGGTCCGACCACTGAGTATTCGATCAATGGAAACAAATATGTCTTGGTAATAACTGACTATTACACGACGTATGTTGTTGCTCATCCTCTTCCTGATAATTCCGCTATAGCTGTAGCGCATTGTTTTGTCGAACAATTTGTTTTCAAATATGGTATTCCACAACGATTAATTACAGACCAAGGAATCCATTTTAAAAATGAATTAATGAAAAATTTAACAACATTGCTCGGAACACATCATATTCACACATCGGCATACCATCCACAGGGAAATGGGTTAGTAGAGAGGTTCAATAGTACTTTTCATCCTCAATTGGTCAAACTTCATAATGTTGAATTAAACAATTGGGATGAGTATTTAGCTCCGATTATATATGCTTACAATACAGGTATACAAAACAGTACTGGGTATAGTCCATTCCAATTAATGTTTGGAAGAAATCCTAATTTACCACTCGATCATACATCTACTACATTTATTTTACAGCGAACGAATGATTATTGGCATAAGCTATTGAAATCTATGAAATTTTATTGTGAATCAACTCGGCAACGTACAAATATTCAACAGAGACAATCAAAACAGCGTTTTGACAAGATTCGTAAGGATCCTAACTATGATATACATGATTTAGTGTTATGGAAAGTACCTGGTCATCGTGGCAAATTAGCTGAAAGATTTTCTGGCCCTTTCGAGATCATTAGCGAACAGCATCCAACGTATACAATCTAAGATACACAATTATTAGCAATTACACACGTTCATGTTAGTGATTTAAAAGCTATTTACAATTGTGATGGCTTGGCATCTTATGACTAAATAAATTATCATATAAATACAAAATGCACTTCAATAACATACAAGTCTTCAATTTTTTTTTCGATTCTAACGCAATGACAAAAGTAGTGGCAATACTGGAACATTGGTTTATGGAATCAAGTTGGATTTTATTTTGAGATGAACGTGGAAGTTCATCTTATTCTTCGGGGGAGATGCTATGGCACGTAATATGACATACCATAAGATGAATCATAATATAGGTCTTTTCCATATGTTCGTTCTCTTTCTTTTCTTATATACATATGATTATTATAGATATCACTCACTCTCAATCCTAATAGGGGTTTTCCCGAGAACCTCATCTAGGTTTCTTTGTTTGTAATAACAGCTGGGGAAATTTACAAGATTAGATAAGATCCATTTAGTATATTCCAACTATGTGTGTGTTTACATACTATACAAACAGCTCTCGTTTTTGTGGAACGATGTCTTGTTTACTATTCGAAATAAACTATCTCTTATTAACAGTATACGGACCTTAACAATCACAACCAATTAGGAATCCATCACAAGTCTCTGAGCGAATGTCTGCAAGGAATAGTCGAATCCGCTGTTAACTTCCATCACGTCAAAATAAGTCTTGTTTTCATACAGAAGAAATTCTGATTAAAATAATGGCAATAAGATATAGATTATAATTATCTTCTCATCATAAGTCTTTGTCATGATAATTAAGCTCCTCTCCCTCCTAGAAAGGATTTCCTACTTAGAGTGATCTTTTTGGCCTGAAATTTTTCAGGAATGATGAATTCTGATGATATACGTGCGTGGTAAAAGTTTCAGCTCGATCGGTTGTACTGGGCCCGATTTCCAGCTGATTCATAGGGCATTTTTGACCTTCGAGAGAATGGATATAACTCCATTGTAGCACAAGGTATAGAGCTCGGATTGGATTCAAATTACAGCTAATGTCAGTATGCAACTTGTCCGAACAGAATTTTTAATAGTCTTGTATTGTTCAATTTTTATGAATATTTCAGTAGACATGTCTTAAAATCAGGATGAACACTGATGGTTCAGCAAGAGTAAATTCCACTTTTCTCAAAGCAGAAATCAATTATTAAAAAAAACGTTTAGACAAAAGTTTACCCTTATAGAGACCTTCCAAACAAAACATTTATTAGGTATATCTTGAGCTGTATGAAAGTTACTTGAATTTTCCTGATCGGAAGCCGTATTCTGAGAAAAATGCAAAATAAGTTTCACAAGTTGATTTTTTCCGTTTAAATTAAAAAAGATTAATAAGAATACCATATTTTCCATATTTCTCACTAAACTTTTCCAAAGTGCGTAAGAGGTGTAATAAGCTAACCCTATCTATCACTTTTAGCTCATTTAGTTCTCCTCTTATTCAAGTAATGGGGATATTTTGATACGTATTCTCTGGCTATTATGATTTACAATGTGATTTCGATAAATTAAATGCTGATCATTAAGAATAGGACTTAAATATACGATCTTGGTCTTATGTGTTGTTAGGTACTCGGTGGTCAATACAAAAACATTCAATTGAGTACAGACTCAGGTGGTGACGTAGTTTTTTCGAAATTGCAAAAGTCTTGACAATCAGGAAAATTTCATGAAAAGCATGAAGGAAGTGTCAAAGTTTCATCGATAAGTCCGTGAAAGCCTGATCCTTTTTTCAAAAATCTTCATATATTCTGGAAGAGGGCACTTCGCCGCATCTTCTTATCGGAAAAAATCGGGCTTTTGTAGGGGCTCGTATTAATTTCATCCAAAACTATTGAATTTTTTGTGTAATTGTGACTAAAAATATTATTTTCTGATTGTTTATTTACATTTGATGTAGACAGTACACAAAAGTGTTGTTGAAATGAGTGATAGTTATCGTTAAACAAAGTATTAAGTTCATGGAGGGAAAAGTGAAAATTTCCGTAGTTCGCCGATACTTCAAAGTTACAGTAGGATGAAGTATTTGGCTTTTATTTAGATTGGTTTCATATCAGGTACTGTCAAATTGATGCTCGTTTAATGTACATGTATGGAAGACTTCAAATAGCTAAAAACATTTTGACGATATTTCTGAAATACCTGTAAAGTACAATAAAGTACAGTGAAGTACGGAAATTTTCACGTTTCCTCCTTGATTCAGTTTCATACTCAAATCCCCCGCTAGTATTTCGGTCGCACTTCGCCATACTTCAGACGTACTTTATTTTACTTTACACGCTGCTCAAGGTAAATGAAGTCTCGCTTTCCTCCCTTTGATGTAATACCACAAATAATTACTTGTATCATTGACCGAATCTTTTATGTAGTTACAGAAAGTAAAGTGTGATAAATGAAGCCAATGAGTAAAAGAATATCAAATAGATTCACAATGTTCATACATTTTTCTGTGCCAGAAAGCGAAAAAAGAAAAGCAAGCATGACAAGCAATCACAATAATTTTAAATTGTATGCCCCCTTACTCATTTTGTTCCATCTAATAAAAGAAGAAAAGAAGAGGGAGTATTCATGTGTATAAATATATGCTTGTTCTCTACGTCAGTGCTCATAAACAAGCAACTGAAACAAGACAATTGATACCTGTATACTTTATAAATAATGACTGGTTTTCGAAAGACAATATTAAACTTATTGGAAGCTTTGGTAAATGAAACAGTCATTACAATCGAATGGAAAGATCAAGATACGATTATAGCAATCATTCCAGATGTCAATAATTCTGCCATCCAGCATTCAATTGTTGCGAATTGCAAAAGAAAAACCTTCTCGAATGAGGTGGAAAATTTTCAATGGGAAACGATTTTGGTTGATAATCATACCATTCAAAATATAAATGTTTTTACACAGTTAGGTTTTAATGAAGAACAATGCGCAATCCTGAGGCAGAATATTGATGCAACTGATTACCTTGAAGCGATTTATGAACAATGCCGATCGTTACGACCTAAAATACTGGAATCTATTGACAAATTACTTGGAACATCTTTTTGCTCCACATTTGATCCCATACAACCAAAAGCTTACGCTACTTTATTAGCACAATTACCAGCGAGAGAAGCACTGTTGATTAGTGAAACATGTGGTAATGTCGATGGTTCGACAGGAAATCCACTTAAAAATGTTATGTTTGGTTCCAAGCCAGGTGCAATTGAAAATCATCCAATATCAGTGTCAGCTATACATGGTACCTCACAACTTCTTTGTGTTTCTCACTCACGCGTGAATACAAGAGAAGCAGGCGTTATTCCAATACATTTGTTAAATGATTTGAAATTTTATATAGACAATCATCTAATTCCGATGAATAAATATGCTGTTGAAGTATCCAACAGAGAATCTATTGTAGAAAACAAGATCGATGCTTTTGTTTTATTATCTAAGCGAAGTTTCATTCCATTACATGGTGATTATCAAATCAAGACAAGTTTTCCAGCACAAATCACATCAGAATATCGAGTAATCGATTGGAATACAGCAGAAGATGCCGTTGAATGTGCCCGAATCGTTTCTCAACTGGCAACTCTTTCCAGATTACCAAAAAATCTTTGGGTATTACCAACATTGTTCGCTGCTCAAGTCAAAGATGATGACAATACAACATTTTATATCCGCGGTGGACTTAGAAATGCTTGTAGTAATGGAGCTATTGTTGGTTTACCAGAACATCTTACACCAATTACGGCTTGTGCTTTAACAGCTCGAAATCTTTTGACACCGGATAAAACCTTGTTTGAAAGTTTTGTTGAATTTGGTTTCGATCCCATACGTTTGTTTGAAGATATTTCAGATGGAATCATCGGTGCACAACTTCATTTTATAGCTATTCGTTGGGTTCCAGATGCTCATACTCAAAATGTTGCTTACTTATTTGACATGCATGAGAAACGATATGCTGGCATACTTTTAAAAGATTCTGAATGTGAGAAAAATAAAATTATTCGTGATGGTAAATTGGGATCTTTAATATTAAATCCACAATCATCTACATCTCAATCTAAAAAAATATCCAGTGTTAGGACAATTACTTCAACACTTTATTTTCATCATACAATCTACACAAAACATATTGAACCGATGGCATGTCTCCTGCATGAGAAATATCACATTTCGATCAAAGATATTCAGGCCATAGTTCATAATAGCCTAAACTCTTGGTTGGAAAAGAATCCTGAAACGAACATGCACCATAAGATTGATCTCTCTGGTCGATACTATGAAAGAAATTTGGCTTGTAAAACATTAAAAATCGGCCCATCACCTTATTATCGCCTAATCCGTGATCATAAACTACTCCCATGTTCTTGATTGCGATGAAATTGCGACGAAAACATCACAGTTGCGGCACAATGACCGAATTATCTTGCGTCCATATTTCAACATTTTCCCACTAGTGGCGGAACCAGCATTTTATGGGGTGCTGAATCTTCGTTTCAGAGCATGGGTCCCAGTTAAAACTCATGCGTGATGATATTGGTGACAAACTATGAGTTTCTATCAAGCGATTTTTGTGATCGGAATTTGCTAAAAAAATTAGCATTTTCCTGAGCCCCCCCAGAAAATATTCAATACTGTCAACACTGCCTTACTTTTGAGAATGACACAGCAGGCTACATTTAATTTCATCGACAGATTTCANTCTCTTCAGTTTTTAGGTGCATCTTTTACAGAAAACAGTGAATAACAGTCAAGGCCAGTTGGTAACGGTTTGTCACAGGGCTTTTGGGCTTGTTTATAACGGTATTTGACTGGTTTTTGGACCTGTCTGTGATGGGACGGGGGGGGGGGGGGTCCAAATTTCTGCCCCTACACACTTCAACACTCTCTTTCAGATCGTGTTTCACAAAAAGAAAATAAGAAAACACGATAGGAAATATCTGCTACAATGAGAGAAAAGAAACGATTACTACAATAATTAAGATAAATGTAAAGAGGGAGGTAAAAAAATGAATATATACGAATAATTAATTTAAGATAATTTGAAAAATCATAATACATTTTATATGCTTGTAATAATACTAAACTCTTAACAGTGTATCGATTTATACACATTCAAAAAGCGGAAGAGGTACATTCTCGTTTTGTCTTTTTGTTAAGTTCATCTAGACGTTTCTGTTCAGCGACTTGAGCAAGAGACGGTCGAACTCGTAACCAAGTTATAAATGTTTTTCTGAAAATCGCTATCCTTGGTTTGAAAAAGTTTTTTTCCCTTCTCAAAAAAATAACATCAGATTTCTCCTCTTCGACCCCAAAATCTCTTCGGTAAATTCTTGTAAAAAAAACTGGTTTTTACAAAAAAGTCGCCCGTTGTGTAAAAGAAATTGATCCATGTAAACATTGGCAAAAAATAACGCCAGATTCGAGTTCATCGACCCAAAAAGCTCCTTAGTCAAATTTTATAAAAAAAAACTTTTTTGTAGAAAACGGCCCTTTGTTTAAAAAAATATTTTTTTTATAAAAAATTTCAAAAAACGACCAGTAGATTCGAGTTCCTCAGCCTCGAAAACCCTTCGGTCAAGTTTCATGAAAAAAAGTTTTTGTTGGTAAAAAGTGGTCCTTTGTCTAAAAAAATTCTTTTTTTAAAGTTTAAAACACTAACATCAAATTCGGATTCTTTGACCTTTAAAACCCTTTCGTCAGTCTTTATAAAAAAATTTTTTTCCTAAAAAAAATTGATCCTTTGTTTCAAAAATTTTTTTTTCAATGAAAAATTTCAAACAGCTGACATCAGATTCGAAGTCTCCGCATCGAAATACCTCTGGAAATGTCTTTTCGGAAAAATCGATTTTCGATGTTTTTTTTTACCCTGCAGACATACAAGCAAGCAATCAAACAATTTATGTTTCTACGACTCTTCTCTACGAGAAAGAGAATAAGTCTGTATTCTTCAAAAAACAACGACTTATTGTCTTTTTTTTTCTATTTAGGTTCATTATATTTATCATCGAATATCAGCGGTACGTTTTCATTCTTTTAAAAACAAAATGAATTATTACGTTTTTTTCTATTTAGCTTCAGCATCGTCCAGTATCAACAGTGAGATCTATATTTTCAAATAGAGAAACAAAATACTTTTGCTTCTTCTATTTAGATTGATTGCTATCGAATATCAATGGTAATTTTCGCGATTTTAAAACCGAATGAATCAGCCCTTTTTCATTTTCTATTTAGAATGATCTTTCTCGAACACCAATGGTGAGATTCTCAATTTCAAAGCGATATGAATTAATATTTTTCTTCTTTCATTCAGATCCCTCATCGTCGAATACCGATTGCAAGTTTTCCACTTTCAACATCGACAAAATTAATACTTGTTCTTCTTTTATTTAGATTGATCATCATCGAATATTAACCACATGTTTTAGTAGAAAACTTCATGAAACTATTTCAACATCTTCCTTCAAGAAGCTTCCATCGCAGCCAAAAAACACCACACTTTCTCAAAGTAACAGCTTCCATTTCTCACAAACTGTTAAATCTTTGGAACTTATACTCTTTTCAACACTTTGTCACATATAGAAGCTGTTACTGTAAGAAAAAGTGGTGCTTTTTTTGGTGAAATGAAAGCTTCTAGTAGGAAGATGTTGAAATAGTTTCAAGAAGCTTTTCACAGAACCATTTTCTTATGTAGAAACTGGAAGGTTTTGTCGGTTTTCGCGCAGTACCATGTCTTCCACAGGAACTTTTCTAGGAGTTCTAAATTTAACCGACGGGCCCAATCACTAAAAACGTTCTATAACAATTCTTTTTTTCAGAGTATGAGTCATCGCTTTTCGGCCACAACTCAGCTATGATGTGGCCAACAAGCAATATTTAAATATGTCTCAGTAGTAATCTATCACCATTAGGAGGTTCGGTATTGTTTGATAAACTTTTATTTCAATTCAACTTTACTTGAGAAGAATAAAAATCAAAGTATCAATGTTTTTCAGAGAAAAAAAGAACTTTTCAATATCATTGGTTAAGATTAACCAACTGTTATTTAACATTAGCAATAGTATTGAAAACTTAGTTATTTGAGCCAAAAACTTGTTGAACAGCTGCAGTAATTTGCTGTTGAGCGTCAACTGCACTAATTTGACCACTGGCAACTTGCTGAGCGAGTTGATTAGCTAAAGTGACGACGGATTGGATTTGAGCCGATCGAACGCCGCGACGACTTCCGAAACTTGCATGAATAGCATCGAATATTTGTTGAGCAGCAGCAGTGATTTGCTCGTGAGCTGCTAATGCATTATTGTGATCATTCTCAATTTCTTGAGCGAGTTGATTGATTAGAGCTTCGATGGACTGATCTTCACCTGATGCAATAGAGCGACGACTTCCGAAACTTGCATGAATAGCATCGAATATTTGTTGAGCAGCAGCAGTGATTTGCTCGTGAGCCGCTAATGCATTATTGTGATCATTCTCAATTTCTTGAGCGAGTTGATTGATTAGAGCTTCGATGGACTGATCTTCACCTGATGCAATAGAGCGACGACTTCCGAAACTTGCATGAATAGCATCGAATATTTGTTGAGCAGCAGCAGTGATTTGCTCGTGAGCCGCTAATGCATTATTGTGATCATTCTCAATTTCTTGAGCGAGTTGATTGATTAAAGCTTCGATGGACTGATCTTCACCTGATGATACAAGAGCTGAAGCTGTACGAGCACCATTAGCAGATGGCTTGAAGGGGGCCTAATGAATCACATAATCAAATCAAATAAAAGTAGCAAGATATGTCTTACAAGAAATTGTGCGATTTGTGCAAGAATTGCTTGGACATTACTGGGTACGAATTGATTTGGTACATTCTATTTTGAAGAAAGAGAAGAAGAGGAATTATGATGAAAATAGTCAAATAAATAGTGTTTTACATTTTGGGAAGCAAATTGATTAGCGATTGAACTGAAATCAGCGAGTCCATTGTGAACAGGTTTGCTTTGTGCAAAGGCGATGGCGACGACAAGGAAAACAAATCCAATTGAAAGACGCATTATTGTGAGATGTACTTCACTTAGAAATTGACTGAGGAATATGGAAACTTTCAATCATTTTTATACTCTCATGTGGGAAGAGAAAGATTGGATTATGATGGGTAGTTGCAGGTGTGTTTGCATCAAATAATAATCGGTAGGTGGAAGATAGAATGATAAAGAAAGTTTTGTTTGTGATGATAATAATAGAAAAAAATGCGCAGTTAATTTTATTTCATGGCTATGTTTGTTGTGTTGCCGAGTACCTGATGTGCCTATGTGGCATGTGGCTTTGCTCTCACGTTCTTATAGTCAATTGAAAAACCTGACAAACACTACGCATACAATATGTGCCCAGGAATGAAAAACGCGTATCATCATACCATTATCATCGATCTTATTTGAGAATAGAATCCAACGAATGAGAGCAGTGATCATTCCTTCGATCGATTCATAAAAAATAACACTCAAATATGCAATTTAAAGTTTGGTTTACTGGAAAATTATGGAGAATGCCCTGTAGTTTCTTCGGTGAAATTTGAAATCTGTATGTTCGAAATGCAATAATTGTCTTAGAACTCTGATGTTAGGACATGAACATGGATGCAATTGTCTGACAGGTTGTCCAACTTCAGAAGCGTCAATGTGATATACGATCATGTGATAAGTAGCAACGGTTCCAGCTGAAGGGAATACACTTGTAGAACAATGAACGATAATACAGGACCATAGTCGATTTGTAAAGATTTATGAATAAAACTCAAAACTATCGGAAAATGTGCAGATGTATCAAAATAATCAAGGTGATGAGTATCTAAACAGAGAGGAATCATATGTGTTAGCCTGAAGTTGTGAAAAGACCATTCGCATGCGATGTGGAATCTTTCATATTTCATAGATATTTCATATTGTAGCGTTGTGTTTTGTTGAAACCAACGGCATCCGGTGTAGAATCGAGATATGGTTGATTACAAGTTAATGATTGTGAAGTTTCGGGTTGAGTATGAAAAGAGAAAGAGATGAGTTTTAGGTGGTTGTTGGCCTCGTGTACACTGAAAAAGAAGGTGTTTTACCAAACCAAAAAAGCAATCGATCGGCGGGCACAATCGCTAAAGCTCACATGGTTTGGTCGCAAAAAGGTTTCATATCGACCCTTTACATGATCGATGATAAAAAAGGTTTCGTACATCAGGTTTCGTACAAAATTTTTCCCAAAAATATTTTCAAAAGATTTTTTCTGAGGGTTTCCATATGCAATACTTCTGGAGAATTTGCTACCACTGACGCCCTTGATCAGTGCGTAATCCTTTTCCATGAGAATCTTCATCTCTCTTATCCGGCCCAGTACGATAAGACGCCAGCACAGTAGAGTATTTCACCAGTTCTTCCCGTGAAAGTCATATTTACATTACCAGACATCTGATCCTCGACGAGCTAGGAGGTTTATACATAGATGGGATTGTTTTGAGGTGCATTCATGCATGTGATATATGATATACACAAGAAACTGGAAAGTTATAAATGTTTCGAACTGCTTCAATTCAGTTCTAACGCTCACTTTTACTTAAGTAGCACCTAGGAACATTTATAACTTTCCAGTTTCTTGTGTATATCATATATGACATGCATGAATACAACTCAAAACAATTTCATCTATGTATAAACCTTCTAGGTCGTCGAGGATCAGATGTCTGATGGTGTAAACATGACTTTCACGGGAAGAACTGGTGAAATACTCTACTGTGCTGGCGTCTTATCGCACTGGACAGGATCAGACAGATAAAGACTCTCATGAAAAAGGACTACTCACTCACAAGAACGCCTTACCTACACCGCTCACAGAATTGCCTATACTACTCACAGCTGAACATAGACTCACTCAAACAGCTATGTAAAATGAAAATTCCTACGTTTCTCTCGTCCGCTTGATCGCGCTTCTCCATCACTAACAGACCACTGGCGACCTGCACTCTAAAAAAAATTAGTGCTCTACTGAACCCTCAAAAAAAGTTCCGTGGTTACGAAAAAGTCTTCAGACAGGTTCACAATTACAAAAACGCAATAAAAATTTCTACGGAACCATTAAAGGATCTTCCCGTGTATCGGAGGGAAGAACCTTCTACTGCTAAACCTTTTTTTAAGTTCAGCATACCAAAAACAGGTTCCGTAGCAAAATGCAAAAACTTATGGGGTTTCATATCAAACTATACAAGGACATTAAGGTTCGGTACGAAACTATTATATTTTCCTAAAGAACTCTGAAAGTTTAGTATTATGCTACGGAACCTGTTTTCGGTATGCTGAACATAAAAAAAGGTTTAGCAGTAGAAGGTTCTTCCCTCCGATACACGGGAAGATCCTTTAATGGTTCTGTGGAAATTTTTATTGCTTTTTTGTAATCGTGAACCTGTCTGAAGACTTTTTCGTAACCACGGAACTTTTTTTGAGGGTTCAGTAGAGCACTAATTTTTTTTAGAGTGTGAAATAATTCTAAAGCACAAACACAGGTATTCACTGACAACGAGTAGTTACATTTCATTCACGTATTCCGCCCAACATATAACCTAAACAGCGAACAATAATATATGGGAAGAAATACGTATATACTTATCTATCTCATTGACCTCCATGTAGCCAAGTCATTTGAATGATTAGCCGGGCAGTACACGCCATAACAAGACCATATATCAGCCTAAAACAAAAGACTGACTCCTCAAACTCGATGGTTCGGAAGGAGTTAGACTCATACACTATATCGACTTGGCCGGCCGCGGTGAGTGCTCATTCTCGATGGTTCGGGAGGTATTGGGCGAAACCCTTCAGGCCTTCGTTTAGAAATTAATGGTTCTGGAGGTTGGGTGGGAACCGCTGATGGCTTCGTAAAGGGGAAAAATGGTTCAGGAGCTCTAGCACGCAACCCTTGATGGTTTCGTGAGATGATGAGTGGTTTGGTAGGTCTGGTACGGAGCCCTTCATGGCGTCGGAAAGGGATGAATGGCTCCGCAGGTGTATGGCGGAACCGTGATGGTTCGGTAATATGAGAAAAGGTTCGGGAAGGGTAGCGCGGAACCCTTCATGGTTTGGGAAGATGAGGAATGGTTCGGTTGGTCTGGCACGGAACCACCCATAGTTTTGGAAAGGGAGGAATGGTTCAGGAGCTCTAGCACGGAACCCTTGCTGGTTTCATGATATGACGAATGGTTCGGGAGGTCCAGTATCGGCACTCTAGTGATTCCGTAAAATGAGAAGTGGTTCGGGAAGTGCAGCACGGAACCCTTCATGGTTTCGGAGAGGGATGAATGGCTGCGGACGTCTGGTACGAAACCCCACAGGATTTCGGAAAATGAGGTACGGTTCTGGAGGTCTGGAACGGAACCTCTGATGGCTTCGTAAGTTGAGGAATGGTTCGGAAGGTGTGGTACGGAACTCAGGAAGGCTCGGCATCCGAAATGCGAAACTTCATTCAGCCTAGTGACGTACGTAAAGGCTCGGTATGTCTAATACGAAACCCTACATGGCTTCGTAAGTATCTTTCGAAACCTTTATGTGCTCTACGGAACTATGGCAGGTTTTGTACCAGACATACGAAACCAAAACAGTTCAGTATACACGCTGCTGAACCTTTCAATGGTTTGGCAATAACAGCACGAAACCTTTTTGGTCCTCAAAACCTAAAAAAAGTTCTTTATTTACGCTACGGAACCATTTTGGTGGTGCCAAACTTAAAATAGTTTGGTGGGCCATCACTAAACCGGAATGGCTTGGTGGACTACCTTTTTTTTTCAGTGTACTATTCTGTTTTTTCATGAAAAATGACTTTTTTCCACGTTTTTTGATGGATTTTAATGTCTCAAGCTTTTCTGTATCACAGTTTGACAAGAAAAATTAAAATTACATGTCGTTCAATAAATTCTATATATGGCGGTCTCTGAAGGCGGCTCCTGTATAGGAACTTTAGGGATGAACTTTTTGACGATTACCATTTTTTCTAGTTATATCTTTCATTGCAAGCCACTTTTTTGTATTTCTGTAGATAGAACAAGCAAAGGGCTATCAAATGCATATGAAACCTTTTGAGATTAACGTACTAAGTCGTTTCTATTTAGACCCCACAGGAAAAAATACTACTTCATGAATGATATTTCTCAAATATTGTCGCAGTTTTTTTCAAGTATGGAGTGTAAAGAGTTGCTATAGATAGAGACAAATACCTTAATAACGACACAAAGTTTTTTCTAAGTTAGTCTGATTTCACATTTTCCTATTTTCCATATACTGCGGAGACATTTTCCTATTTAGCTCTTTCGAGGCGATGTACCTCACCGGTGCGCGACACATAGATTTTATAGCTTAATCTGCAAATACATTTTGTTAAAAAATGTCATCTACGACAAGATGCAGCATGAAAAGCTCTACAATCCGTATAGTAGAGGTTATTTTAATTTTGTCATTTTTGTTTTCAACGAATGTAAACTTCTGTGTGCTTGGTGGTCTGGAGCACGAAACTATCATATTTTTTCTACACAAATATGAAATTGTATTTTTCTTGCTTTATCTTTTCATCATTCAAAATAATTTCATAAAGAAAAATAAAATACAACATAAGAATGCGACCAATCAATGAAAATTAACTACATAGGATTTTGCTTTTTTATGAAAAACCAAACTACGCAATCGAAATAAGTTTTATAATGTATACTGTAGAGCTTTTCATGCTTCATCTTGCGATATATTTTGTTTTTTAATAAAACAAACTTAGGGATGTTAATTTCTATGAAAACAGAATCGACTTGAAAGGGTTAGATGATCTTTAGATTCTCTTCTTTCTAATGATGTATCAATGTCTTATTTTTTATAATGATTTGATGGAGAAATTAGTTAGAAGAATTCAAAAGTAGCAAGAGTGGCGCTTCAATACCGCATATTAAATTGTAAAAATTTTACTTCCTATATGAAACAACAAATTGCTGTTTGATCCTTCTTCGCATGAGAATATAATAATAAGATTCCTATAAAATTGATGTAGCTATAAAATATAAGAATAAAATTCTTCCGTATTCTCTCAGTATGCACTATCATCTCGATTTTCGTTTGGTGTTCTTTTCTTTTCTCTCTGCTATATCAAGTAGAAATAGCCATATTTATTTATTTACTTTATCTATTTATTTTTCAACAAGCATAGTAACTATGGTACTCCTGATAAAGAATAAAGAAAAAGAGAATACAAAACAAAGATTGAGATGGAAATGCATATTGAAAGAATATGGAAGAATTCCATAGCTAAATCAATTTTATGGTAATCTTATTATTATGGTCTCATGTAGAGAATGATCAAACAGCATAGAAAGAAAATGCATTGTTTTCTAGGGATGCATGTGAGTGTGAGTATGCGTTTTGGTATTCTTCGACGATGCATCTATATTAACATCTACCATATCCGCTTCCATACTCGCAAGTCAAAGACATGACAGAAACTTTTTGGGTAGTTGCAAAAGGATACTAATTGGTTTTTTTCGTGTTTACATGTTTTTTTAATGAGTTCACGGCTGATTTCTTATACAAGCTTCAATGAAGAGTTTTAAGTGCCATCATTTTTCTCTTGTCCAATTTTATTACTTTTCTTCTTTTAAAACAAAAAAAGTCATGTATTCTTGATTTCTCTAAAAAAAATTGGTCACGGATATGGCAGAAATCTTCCAAAGCTAGGAGAAAAATATTTGTACATAATTTTGTTGCACTATTTAAGTAGCAAGTAACGCTCGTGAAGAGCAACTCGCTTTGCTCTCCATTGAATAATAGACATGAACGAACATTTTGAATAGTATGCTTAGGAAGATGACTGCTAACAAGGCTGCCAAATCTCCTGATTTTTAAGAATTACATTTGGCGAGCCGAGGATACTCTGCAGGAAGGTATCTGAATCCCATATAAAAATTAACGGATGCAGGCTTTTTCAGCTGAGATCAAATCTTTTCTCGTACAATATATAGTGTTGATAATCAGAAAACGAACACGAAGCGTAGCGTACAAGCAAAATCCATTCAGCAGACGCAGTGTACTCTATTACATGAGATATATCCTCAATGGTCGATATATTTGAGAAAATATCTTTCGTAACAGAGATGTGAGCGAAGTGTGATATCAGTCGAATTACTGAACCGGACGAAATTGATAAATAAAATTTTGACTTAAGATTGTATTTACAAGAAGAGCAATCTTGCTACGAACAGAGATATAATCAATGTTCGGTCTAGAGACGAGTGAATCGAAACCTGATTAAACTTACCTGTTCTATAAATCTCAGAAATGACCGCAATGGATGTAGAGTGAGTTAAATGCACTGATTTTGGATGAGAAAAAAATCAAAAATAAAATACATATGCGATTATTGCGTATCTTAATCTTTCTTCTTCTCTAGTGATCACTGATGCATATATTTGTTTTTCTTTCACCTAATTAAATAAAAGTAAGCAAGCAGTTGGATAGAAAAACTCAGTATCCACCTCGATTTTTTGCCGACCACGTGCACACAATCTTACCTGTAATCAAATTACGAACGGAAAAGCATAATTTTACATCACTTGCCTCTCCTGTATTAACGAAGTGCAGCAATATAAACATATTCGAGTGTTTGTAACTATTGGATGTTTTTTATTATTGTCTTCAGTGCAACGGTTATCTCTTAATACATTCTTGCCTAGAGCTTATTCGCTGTATAATTACTGGTACTGTAGTTATTAACAATGCAGATGTTTGTATTGTTAAACAAAAATCCTAGATATTTTTACATCAAAAGAAGGCTCTCACCCTAGTCGAACAAGGCTAAAATATTATCTGCGCTTAGCTTGTCTGGAGAGACATGTTCAATTTTTACGCTATTCATGAATTCAGTATATAGGAGTATTAGGATAATTTACTTTAACTTCCTATGCAATCAGCAAACGAGGAAATCGTCCCAGGTGATAAACGGCTGTAGAGCTCACACTTTGGAGCAAGGGGGAACAAAGTGATTTCAAATACCGAAATCACTTTGAAATCACTTTGAAATCATCGAAATCATCTGAAATCATTTGAAATCATCTTTTTTTAATATAATTTTTCACCTTATTTATGGGGTACAATTAGGAATAAAATAACGCTCGTCGAGGGAGACTCGCATTACCCTCGACTGATTGGGTTATACTTCAGATAAAACTTGTGCTTCCAAATGATGTCTCGAGAACGGTCCTCGTCAATTTTTTCAACCTTTTTCAAAACTAATCAAACAACTGTCATCGTTCTTGTTATTTATGTAATGTCCATTATTCATGATTATTTTTCAAACATGAAACAGCAATCCGCTAAGAATAGCTACTATGGTCTTTGCGCCTTTTAGTAATGCGAAACTCGAAATTTCGACTCAACTATTCAACTATTTTTGCAGTCTTTTTTATCAGTGTGAAGCTAGCACGAAGGAGCTAGCACGAAGAAACTGTGTGTAAGCTAAAAACTTTTCCCCAAAGTTTGTCCGGTTCATAAAACCTAGTCCAATCGATTCAGAATTTAATTCTGCATCGAATGATGGTATTTTTATTCACCGGACAAACTTTGGAAAAAAGTTTAACCACATCTTTGTTTGCCTCATATAGGTCTATTTATGTTTCCGATAATTTTTTTCTAAAGTTTGTCCGGTGAATAAAAATACCATCATTCGATGCAGAATTAAATTCTGAATCGAATGGACTAGGTTTTATGAACCGAACAAACTCTGGAAAAAAGTTTTTAGCTTACACAGTTTCTTCGTGCTAGCTCCTTCGTGCTAGCTTCACACTGATGTCTTTTTTCAATTATTTGAATATTCGACTGCTTTCAAAACTCTTCTGTTCATCCTCACTGAAATGATGTCCCTTCAGAACCCTTTTACTCACTCGCAAGTATACGAATACTCGAATAATTGAACGGAAGGGTAGACTGTTAAATTTAAGTTTCAAACTATAGATATTTGGTATTATGGTAATCTATGATTGTATACTTTTCCTCTTCTCTCTTTCTCTTCCTCTTCATATACAACAATTATCTGCTTTCTTCCTTCCTATATGAACTTCGACATTAGCCTCTTAATCTATATACCCAACATAGAGATATTGATAGATTTATCTCTTCTTCTTCTTATGTACCATTCATATAATATTGATATCAGAAACGCACTCTTATGTACGACTGTTTCTGCTCTCTGTGTTTTGAAAAGATTATGATCGCATGATCATCTGGCTCATCAACTCATTGTATGATAGCGATAGATCTTAGATATTATTTATAAAGCTTGATATTTTTCTGTAGCGTAATACTGTATGTACTGAGAACTATGAAAGGACGAGGAACATACAGTAGAGATTCGATTTGTTTCGATTCAATACAGGATACACTTATTATATATTATCTCTTGTGTTATAGATCATCACAGGCATCTTCAAACTAGGATCTAGCATCGCGACCAAAAAAACGTTTTTGGTTCCAACCGCAAATGGCTGCACTATTTCGTTGATTTGAATATAAGATAATCTATTAAATGTGCATTTTGTAGAGAATCTTTTTCTCTATCGAACTGTATAGGTTAGATCATAATAGAACACTTTCTCTTCGACTAATGCAGCAAAATGATCGGGCGAATTTCGCTTCTGCACAGCTCGCTCAAAACTAACCCTTTAGTTTCTTTTTGACACTGGTCTAAAAGAAAGTTTTATGGTATCGTTGAAAGCATACAGCTTGGAAGAGGAAACGGTTCTCTATAAAATACACATTTAACAGATTATCTAACATTCTAAACAATAAAATGGTACAGAAATCTTCGGTCGCGCTGCCGCACCGTACCTTATACGTGTTCTCCCTTTCCTAATAAAATGAAGAGTTACGTGAAGAAAGATGAGTGTTCGTGTAAATTTCAAATCCAAAGGTGTCAAAATGTTTCTACGTGTGAACTAGAAAGCGTCACCGGGAGCAGCTCGTCGTTCGTCGGCGCCCCAACGGGGCGCCACTCACGACTCGCCGCTCCGCACGCTTCCCATTTTTCAGGCTGACTATCCAACTTATTTAAACAACGCCTACTTCAACACTTTCCAACAAAATTATCAATCACTAGAGACGCTGTCATATCAAAATCTCGTTCATTTAGTCTCCGATCACTACCTTTCTTTTCTGCATTATTATACTTGAGTGTGAGACACATCCTCTTCTGGTGTCCAATTTGTGATTCGGTACGCTAGCAAAAACGAATACTAACAATAACTTATACAAGATTCTTCACTGTCTGTTTTCTATAGTCACACCAACAGAAGCAAAAAAATCAGAATTGTATTTTGGACTTGTGTTTCGAAGGAAATTCTCCTACTATCACAAATACAAATTACATTACATTCTGAGAATGAATCTTTCAGTTTCGATGTATGATACATTTCCTTGCACATTTGGAGTTATGAAAAACTTTTACCTAATCTTTGTTCCACTCATAATGAAACTCTCTTATGGGCCGTTGACCTCTGGGCTCAACGTACGTTTAACATCGACCCTATCTCACATGTTCTCACCCTCCCAAACCATGTTTTATGAAGTTTTGAGCATTTTCAAAAAAATGTCATTTGACCTTTGACCTGCGACCTGCGACAGACACACAAACAAACGAATTTCAATTTTTGGACCACTTTTTTTCGACATGACCCTCCTTACAGTCGAGGGAACAATTGAAGGACGGATAAATTACGATAACATTATTCAAATAATATTTTCTATTGGATAGAAATGATCGATTTTTTTCGATACAAAAAAAGACGCACAATATATATTACATTCAAATATTTATTTTTGATTCATTTCGATATTTTCTTTTTTCTATTAATATGTATTTCATTGCTACAATCTTTCTTTTATTCTTTTCTATTCATATAAACAAAAATCAAGGTTTGTTTTTACATATTCATGGAAGATTTCTATATACGTATATGTATTTCTTTATTTTTATGAAAAAACATAAAGATTCACTTAACGAAATCTGAGGTCACGACAGAATCTTCCGTTTGTTTTATTCGAATTTCATTTCGTCATTTGTTTCTTGTTGGAATAAAAGACCAAAAGAGCAAGTGTAATCTTTCTTTTCATTCTTATCTTATGTCAATATCAATATTGTCATTGATTACATACTTTGTTACTTAGTTTTTTCCTTTCATTTCTTTGCTTAGAAATTAAAATATAGACAACGAGAATACATAATCGTTCCGTTTAATCTACTCATTTTCTTGTAAAGTAAATGACTTTTGCATTGCGATTTTCAGTTTCCAAAGAATGTGTTCAATGGATGTGGAGATTAGATGATGATCCTTGGTGTTTAACAGAAGATGCCAAATGGTGTAATTATTCTGACGTAGAAATGGAAATAATCGAAGAAGCATTTCAGAAGAGACTACCCGTTGTATTGTTCAATGATTATCATCTTAATTTCGAAAAGTTACTTTAAATATCAAACACGAATATACAGAATCAACGTCCTGTCAGACGAATCAGTGCAAAAGGCATAGAAGAAAAATTGAGACAAGAAAGATTTTTGGCAGATATTATTATGCCTTCTAAACCTTTCTATGCTTATTCTTCGTATACAGTAGGATTTATCCATGCAACTTGCGAGTATTTTGGTGTGAGTCTACTAGCTGATGATAAAATTGCGTGCTTCATGGTAGAAAAGGCAGCTGAGGGTCTTATAACCGAAGGAAAGTTGATTGGTAAACAACAAGAAGGTAAATGGATGGCAGATCAACTATTATACTTTAAGGAAGACAGTTTCGAAGAAATCGCAAAGTGTTGTGTTTGGCTTTACTGCAAAGAATCGTTTGTTTACAAGAAATTAAATGAGATTATGCGACTAGATGGAGACGAAGACCATGCGCTGTTATTTCAAAGTAAAGTGCCCACTTTGGGTCCATTTGCATACCTACTTCGAAATTTTAAACTTTCTACTTCTCTGAAGAAGAGCACGGTCTATCGTGGAGATAATCTATCCAATAATTTGATCGGAAAATGGCAAAAAGAAAAAGAGAATGCAAGAGGATATTATCGTCAACTTACAGCCTTTACATCTACCAGCCGTAGTCGAGAGAAAGCCGAGTTCATGGACTGCAATGTTCTTTTTATTTTTGATATTAATGAGTGCTTCGATGGTTATGACGTTTCCCCATTTTCATGCCTCAATGAAGAAGAATTTCTGCTCGATCCTGGTACTTTATTTCATATAGTATCATGTCAATTTGATGTAAATAAGAAGAAATGGCTCATACATCTGAAATCCTCCATGTTAGTTGTAATGGGAGACATTGAAATCAACTAAACACTTCTAGTGATGAGAGAATTTCTAAGCAGCTTCGTAGATGTTCATTGTGCTATATTTTTTTGTTCTGCATGACTTGTATTTCTTTTGAGCAATATTTAAAAATACACGTTGAACCTATTTTCAGTGCAATCTTTGTTTAAAAAACGACAAATTTGAGAAGATAATGAATTTTTCTTACGGAAATTTCTATCGTCAAAACCTGTAATTAACAACAATGTAGACGAATCTGATATTACCTAAGTATTATCTATAGACATGAAAAATCGAAGATATCTTTTCGTACAACTGAATAGACGAAAGTAGCAACAAGAGAAACAATAAGTGTCTGTTAATAACAGACTGTTATTATATGTTTGTTTACTATTTTCTCAAACATCATATTTGGATTATTACTTTACATGTGGGTTTGTCGTATTTTATTTTAGTTTACTAGATTGGTTAAGATCATATTTAAAATGAATATTCAAACGATCAATAAATATAGGAATTGAGCGAACGAATGATATAAATAAATCTAATTAGCTTATAGTTGTAATATTATCTCAATACGAAATATACTTAATATATTCTATCTTTGATTCGTTTTGTTCACAACAAAAGCCTGATAAATCTGTTTGAATAAACGAAATATAATCTGAAATCTGATTGCAACTCAATGATAATTATATAATTACACAAAATAAATCCAGAACCTTGATGAAATTTCATGGAATACAGTGAAATATCTACCAGCGAATACCTCTCAACTCTGAACAATGAACACTTTTCTTAATCCGAACTATAAAATAGCTTTGCATCGTAAGAACATGTACCATAAAATATGTGCATGTGGAGAAAATAACAGTAAGAAACCAAACAGTTGTAACGATAATGATATCGTTCATCTCTTTCTGTTCTTTATTCTCTCACCTCTGTATCATACTATCTCCGGGTCATATCTCTTTTTCCTCTTCTCTATATAAGCACGTGTCTTATTGTGAAAGAGACACATTCTGGTCATATAGAGTAGTCAATAAACATCTATACCATGAGAAGCGGTCAGCTACTCAACCAGTTTGTCATTACAACAGTGAATCTTAAATTTTGAAGAAATGACGGAAAAACTCTTTGACAGCCTAATTATTATAAGAAAAATCGTCTTGTGCTTTAAAAATAAAACAACAATAATAATCAAAAGTTCATACCGTACTTCTCCATTGAGTAAATAGAACAAAAGTAAGACTTGAAATTAACAGAAAATGGTGAACTTAATGAATCTACCAACAAGAATAAGTACTTTTCTATTTATACTTATTAAATGACAACGAAATGTATTAACATTTGCCAAGAAAATACAGAATCAAATAAGTATGTTGATATGCGAGAGTTTATCAATGCTCACTTATCTCATCCTCTCATTCTCAAAATATGTGGCAAAACAAGAAAAACATTTTTTACACCATATATTTTATAAATAGAGGTACTTTCAACAAAAAATATGTATATACTCGTTAACATTGGTCACTCAACATTCACTCTATATTTATGTAACAGTTCATTCATCATAGAATCTGCTATGAAGAACATGTTTCAAACGTTCTTATTAGTGCTCATTATAAAGAGAGGTTTTCCCATAGTAATATTCTTTTTCAGTCGATCCTCATCTCTACTAAGGCTTTGTACCCGTGGAAATCCAATCAACGCAATACTTTTAGTTTGTTATCTAAATCTAATAATCGATTTTGAAAAGTAAACTTGTTTATTTGACAAACCATACCTTCAAGACTCAGTGAAAATGATCATTTTTGACTCTCTCTTAAAATTATTTGATCTATATGGAGAAACAAGTTTTTTCTAGCTAACGATCTGTTTATAAAATAGTAAGGGCAACCCGACACAATTGAAGAGATGTAGAAACAGGTAAACATTTCCTTATCTCAATGAATCAAATTTCTACAAATGTTTGTTTTTCGATCTTAGGAGAACTATGATTTCATCTCAAATTCATCTCTTTATAAAAGATTCTTCAGATTACTAGATGATATTAGAGAAGAAACATAGAAAATTGACATATTCATATTCTAGTGTTGTATTTCGATAACGAATGTTTCTAATCGAAAGGCAATCTTTTCATGCACCAGAAACTCAAACCTTACAGAAAACTCATTTTCATATCACTTTTTATCTCGAGAGCCGACATTTTGACTTGTTTAATAAAAATAATTGAAGTGTATTTAATCAATATTGTCTGATATCTTGATAAAATAACATCTGTCATAGGAAAAAAAGCATTTTTCTTAATTTGATCAGGAACATGATATGTTATTCAAGTCAATTCTTTCAATTTAACTAAGACAACTCTTTTCGACAAATGGAAGAATCACACAATATTAAAAAATTAAAGGACGAAGACGAAGATGCAATGATCAAATTGATCCATAAAGTAATGAGAGAAAAGAGTAATTCTTGGATTGAATGGTGTCAATTAATTGCAACAATATGTATTCCTGTCATCATTGTTACCTATACAATAATTCAAGATCGTCAGAATCTTCACGAAGCTAATATGAGTCGTGAATCTGAAAGTCAAATAGCAGAAGGCAAGCGTTTAAATGAACTTTTAATCGCAGAAGAAAATCGACAGAAAGATCGTGATCTTGCTAAAGATCAACAATGGGAAAATATTCTTGTCGAATACCATCGATTTCTTTCAGGATTACTTATTGAGAGAAGTTTATCTGTATTCGCACCTTTATTGCCACGTTTAAGAGATGAAGATAAGATGGCCATATTATTAATGACATATAACGCGTTGAATCAATTAGATCCCAAACGTAAACGTCATGTTATTCGAGCTCTCTATGAATATAAATTGATTGCCATTAAGATCAATACCCAATTAAAGGATGTAAGCATTTTAGATGTTGGAAAAATTGATTTAAGCAATGTCGTACTTGGTTCTGTATATGATTCACAAAGTTTACAATCACGAACGTTTTTAATTGATTGGTATTATCTTCGCCTACCAGGAGCCATTTTCAGAAACGCCTCGATGCGTCATGCAGCACTAGATTGCGTTAATCTTTCTGCTACTAACTTTGATTCAGCTGATCTTAGTTTTGCGTTTACTGGATCTCTGAAATGTTCCAATAGGACGCCGATCTCTCCTACAACTTTCAAACAATCCTCATTTGTGAACAGTTCCTTCTACTATGCGAATTTTTATGCGATTGATTTCTATGGCTCCAATTTCATGTTTGCTAATATGTTCTATCTTCAATGTAAAGGTTGTAATTTTGAAAAATCGATTTTGATTGGAACCAACCTGAGCAGTTCTGTAATTTCTTCAGAATATGCTAGCAAACAACCGGCGACTTTTCGTTTGGTTAAATTATCATACGCTACTGTTGATTTATCAATATTTCAGTCATTAACTTTCGATTATTCAGATTGGTCTCATGTTCAAGCTAAACAAATAAGAATGATAAACTGTACATTCGTTAATGCAACAATGATCAATGCATCATTTGTAAAAGGCTCTCTAAGTAATGTGTTATTTCAACAAACAGATCTATCTTATATTGATATGACTTATGCTATCTTGAAGAATATTAGTTTTATAGATACAATTATGTATTATGCTAATTTAAGTTATATCAAGTGTGAATATTGTAATTTCATAAATATTGATTTACGAAATAGTTTATTAAGAAATGCATCATTACTTTATAGTAATTTCGTGAATTGTTCAATCGATGAAAAGCAAGTAGGAGAAATAATTGATCTTGGTGGATCAAAATTACCCAATGAAACTATTGTCCAGAATAATAATCAAAGAATTAATTTTTATGATTAGAAAGTGTGTGGTCTTCGCTATTCATTTATTCGATATTGATAACCAATATTGAAAAGTTTTATAATATATTTTATTTTTATTTCTATTACAGATATTATATAATTTCAAAATGAAAAGTATTCTTGCGAATTTTATAACTCGTTACAAACATGTGTATTTGGATCGTATAAACATTCAATTGTCGTTCGATGATTTTACACGCATATGATTAAAGAGTTGTGATTGCAAATAAATATATACGCTTTAATAGTTATAGGATTATGTGCTTTATTTTTGAGTGTCTATAGTGCTTCAGTTGTATTTTGAAATATTTTTCAATTTTCCATATCTGAAATGAGAACTGTTGAACAATCCAATTGAACTTGTCAAGTTTTATATGATTTATTATACATGAACATTGAAAAAAACGATTAAATACTTTGTCTGTTGTGTTGTTTTTGTTAAGTTTACAATAAGTGAGTATAATCTCGAGATATCATTCTATTCACTTATCAAAAACAATTAATCTTCGCAGGAAATATAATGACTTTTTATTATATTTTTGATAAAGAAATCAATAAAGTACTCTCTCACAAAACGATTTGCTTACTCTTCCTTATAACAAATATTTAAAAAGTCGAATTTAGTTAACTAATCTACAAGTAACGCGGCCTAGTAGCCGCTAAACCCTCTACTGAAAGGATAGTATTAGTATTAGAGCGCTACTATTCGTCCAAAGAGAGAAAAAAGTTATTTCAGTTGAACGATCTGATCGTTTGATAATTTGCCAGAATGTTTTACCTAGACCAATTTCGCTTCCTGGAATCTTCTGAAATTATAGCGCCTAGTCGCTTGTCGACCTCTCTCCGGTCGACCACTCACCGCTAGCCGTCGGTACCTAATAAGTGTTTAATGATATTTTCATATTATAAAGTACCTCGTTCTTGTTGAGTCCGTCTCTAGCAAAGTTGCTGAAATTCTTCACAACTTCGTGACCTACAGTATATCTTTTATTATCAGTTTTAGTTGAAGGAGTTGGCGATCTACATAGTTTTTTCTCGAAGCTCGAAAAGATGTCATATATATATCTTAGAAAAATTATGGACACTTTGCGAGAGTCTTATAAATCTCACTTTTCAACGAATTTTCAAAAGAAACAACTAGTCGGCCGGCCACTCACGGCTAGCTGTTCCCATGCGTACTCATTTTACTATCTTAACTTCATTCGGACGAAGACGCGTTCCGAAAATGAGCACATTTCGGAAAATCAATTCATAATCAAAAACTTAGAAGCTTTACATAGCTATATGATTCTCTGGAAAAAGTTTCAATCTTCTCTCCACCATGAGGAACCTTAAATAGCTGCCACCTATGTTCGTGCAAAGCAACGAATAATTTCTGACCAAGAAATCTTAAAGCTCTATAAAAATCACAAATTTGTTCTTGGAAATATTATTCTGTAAATCGGCGACTGGTCGCTCGTCGGCCTCCCTCCGGTCGGCCACTCGCGGCTAGCCGTTCCATGTACATTTTCACTCTTCCATTTAGTCTAGAGCCACTTTTGAAACTAATCCATTCATTCTCTTCTATTCCTTCTTTAAAACTCATCCTCTCTGTGCTACTGTGACTCTTGAAGACAACACTTGATAAGTGAAACATTATTCTGAATGACTGACATCAGATGATATTCGTATAGTATAGCTGTTTATAAAAGTGTGTGATCTCAGTAATATACTGATGACTATGGAGATCCAGCGATCGGACGTCAGTCAGCTACTACATTTTGTTCTACATATTGCCGCTTAAAACATTATCGCCTAAAAAATTGATTCTTTGTCGTAAAAAACGGGTCAGAAAGTGTTCATGAAAAACCTAACACCGGATTCGAGTTCCTCGACTCCGATTACCCTTCGGTCAACCCTTCTTAGTCAGAGATGTAGATTGCTTTTTCGTTAGTGTAAAGTACGTGAACGGACGAACGTGCGGACAAGCGAACGAACTTTAGCTCAAATTCTATGTATACCCTTCTTTCAGTAGACGGAATTATTTTCTCAAAATTCTTGCTGATCTATTCCTGTGGAAGAAAAAGAAAGTCTATATTTTTTGGTAACAATTAATGTTCATTCGTCGAATTCATATTTTTTGGACTCATACATTGCTTCTTATTTAGGTATGCACCCAGTTCCAGTCCGACTGGGTGACTGGTATCCAGTCGGACTGGGTATTAGCTTCCCATGGTAACTTCTACTGGATACTACATATCTTCTACTGAGAACAATAATTTGTTATTAATTCATTCATAACGAATTATGACTAGTTCAGATGCTACCAAATTCAAAGATCGAATCAATTTTGAATGTTTGTTTTCCAATCTATAGTATACCATATGTATTAATATTCTTTCAGCAAATTATTCCAATTCATTCCAATGTCTTTATTGCATGCTTTTTGACAGATATCGAAAGAGATCAATAGACAAACGATTAATGACAAAACAATAGAAAAGCTTTTCAAAATTGGCCTCATAATCGAGATCAGCTCTTTAATCTGATTAACTATTGATATTCGCTTAAGAGATGATTTTTAACGATCTTCACTGGTATTGATAAAACAATTCGTATCACATCTCCATTTATTTGTCTTCCAATAGGGAAATTAGAACAAATACATAAGACATGAACCAAATAGCATTTTAATGAAACTCACTGCAACGTGTTTTATCGCTAGTTAGACGCTAATATACTATTTAAATTTCATTCACACGAATTGTTTGTTTAGTTAGTTTAGTTTATTAGACCCTTACCGTCTGGTATTGGGTGAAGATCAAGAGTACAAAAAAGAAAAGAGAAAAGAAAGAAGAGCAGTTGTTTGACCGTTCATTCGGTGGTTTCTTGCTCGATCGTCGTAGCGCTAGATCACCATGGCTATTTGTCCGCGTCCTACCTCCAACCCATCTCGGATTGGTTTCAGTAGCACCCATCATCGTGCGCATGGTGAAAAAAACGCAGCTTTTTTGGCAGGCGAAGGAATTAGCGTCCGATAATGTTATTCTTCCTGCACCACATCAAGGCGCAGCGCCTCATGTGGTCGGTTATTCCTTGTGGCTTGAGCAGCTTCTTGCATTCTGGACACTTGTAGCTGTTGTTTGCGGTTCGTGTCAGCGCTTCGGTCACCTTGCGCGCTGGTTCATCTCGGATGATCATTCTGCGCTGTTCTGCTCTCTCTTTATATTGTCGCACGATTTCTTTGATGTTCGGTCTTGGTGCCATCGATTGCGCCTTCTTGTTGATGATTTCTCGCCATTTGTTACGGTCGAGAGTCTGTCGTCGCCAGTTACGAACTTCACAACAGTTAAGATCATCGCGTATCTTGTCTTCCTGTCGTTTCCGTACGCCTGAACATCGAGGACGTTTGCTGTCTGAAAAGTAGGAAAACATCACTTTCTTTGTAATGGATGGCTTACCATGAACATCCGTCATCCGATTGACATGACCAAACCATCGTAGCCGATTTCTTCTGAGGATCTCTTCAAGTTGCAGTTGTCCTGTCAGTTGAAGAAGTATGTCGTTGGACATTCGGTCGCCGAGGTTTACACCAATGATCGTTCGAAGGCATCTAAAATAGAAAGTGTTTAGTCTTTGTTTCTGACGTGTCGTTGTTGTCCACGCTTCACTGCCACAAAGGAGGACGGGAAGGACACAAGCACGAAAAATTCTGAGCTTGGCTTCGATCGATATTACCTTTCTATACCAGATAGCATGACGCAGCATATTGAACGCAGTTGATGCCTTGGACAGTCGTGTTTCTATTTCCTCTTCCATTGTTTGTTCACGATTGACGCGAAATCCAAGATAGGAGAACTCTTCGACGATTTCGATGGTTTGATTTCGGATGATAATTGGAAAATTGTTGGCTGGCACTTCCTGATCCTTGATGAGCCTTCGCGTTGCGTCTTCTCGGAGCTGTTTCAGAGACATCACACGTGTCTTTTTAATGCTCATTGTGAGACCAAACTGTTGAGTGACCTGCTCAAATGTACGAATGAATATTTCGAGATCAGTCATGTTGTCGCACATTGTAACGAGGTCGCCCGCGTACATTAGAGCCAGGAGGTCAAACTCTTCGTATTTGTCGTGGTCGGTGTGGTGAAAGTCGTTGCTGCCATACGCCAGTTGAATTCCGGTGACGCCCATCTGTTTTGCAGTGACAATAACACGACGCATAATGAAATCAAAGAGGATGTTGAAAAGTATGCATGATGGAATACCGCCCTGTTGGACGCCTGTGTCAATGTGGAAGCTATCTGATAGCTCGTCGTTGACTTTCACTCGTGCTGTTGTATCTTTGTACAGGAGCTGGATCAGGCGGACAATTTTTGGTGCAAGGCCGTAGTGCCTGCAGATTTGCCATAAAAGATCGCGATTGACTGAGTCATACGCTTTCTGTATATCCACAAAGCACATGAAGAGTGGTCTGTTGTACTCGCGGGATTTCTCCATGATCATTTTCAGTGTGAAAATTTGGTCGATCGTTGAGCGGTTCGAGCGAAAACCGGCTTGTTCTTCTAAGAGTTGTTCGTCCAGATGGTTCTGTACACGATTGAGAATGATTCGTGAAAACACTTTGCTTGCGACAACGAGCAGTGAGATTCCTCTGTAGTTGTCGCATATCTGTTTGTCTCCTTTGCCCTTGTAGAGGCGAATCAGGATCGCAGATGTCCAATCATCCACCATTTCTTCGGATTGCCAGATATCCATGAATATCTCATGAAGNGTCCTGTCAGTTGAAGAAGTATGTCGTTGGACATTCGGTCGCCGAGGTTTACACCAATGATCGTTCGAAGGCATCTAAAATAGAAAGTGTTTAGTCTTTGTTCCTGACGTGTCGTTGTTGTCCACACTTCACTGCCATAAAGGAGGACGGGAAGAACACAAGCACGAAAAATTCTGAGCTTGGCTTCGATCGATATTACCTTTCTATACCAGATAGCATGACGCAGCATATTGAACGCAGTTGATGCCTTGGACAATCGTGTTTCTATTTCCTCTTCCATTGTTTGTTCACGATTGACGCGAAATCCAAGATAGGAGAACTCTTCGACGATTTCGATGGTTTGATTTCGGATGATAATTGGAAAATTGTTGGCTGGGACTTCCTGATCCTTGATGAGCCTTCGCGTTGCGTCTTCACGGAGCTGTTTCAGAGACATCACACGTGTCTTTTTAATGCGCATTGTGAGACCAAACTGTTGAGTGACCTGCTGAAATATACGAATGAATATTTCGAGATCAGCCATGATGTCGCACATTGTAACGAGGTCGTCCGCATACATCAGAGCCAGGAGGTCAAACTCTTCGTATTTGTCGTGGTCGGTGTGGTGAAAGTCGTTGCTACCATACGCCAGTTGAATTCCGGTGATCCCCATCTGTTTTGCAGTGACAATAACACGACGCATAATGAAATCAAAGAGGATGTTGAAAAGTATGCATGATGGAATACCGCCCTGTTGGACGCCTGTGTCAATGTTGAAGCTATCTGATAGCTCGTCGTTGATTCTCACTCCTGCTGTTGTATCTTTGTACAGGAGCTGGATCAGGCGGTCAGTTTTTGGTGGAAGGCCGTAGTGCTTGCAGATTTCCCATAAAAGATCGCGATTGACTGAGTCATACGCTTTCTGTATATCCACAAAACACATGGAGAGTGGTCTGTTGCACTCGCGGGATTTCTCCATGATCATTTTCAGTGTGAAAATTTGGTCGATAGTTGAGCGGTTCGAGCGAAAACCGGCTTGTTCTTCTAAGAGTTGTTCGTCCAGATGGTTCTGTACACGATTGAGAATGATTCGTGAAAACACTTCGCTTGCGACAACGAGTAGTGAGATTTCTCTGTAGTTGTCGCATATCTGTTTGTCTCCTTTGCCCTTGTAGAGGCGAATCAGGATCGCAGATGTCCAATCATCCACCATTTCTTCGGATTGCCAGATATCCATGAATATCTCATGAAGCCATAGTGCCACTGGTGTTACACCGGCCTTGAGCAGGTCAGCAGAGACATCGTCATTTCCAGGTGCTTTCCAGCTTTTCATTTGTCCAATTGCTTGATGCACTTCATCCAAGGAAGGTGGCTTTTCTTGGCGCCTCTGTTCTACAGAGGAGATCACTGGTATAGGTATTTGATCCAAAATGGACTGATTGACGTGGGATGGTACATTTAGCAGATCGCTGAAGTGGTCTTTCCAACGCTGTAGTCGTTCCTGCGAGTTCAGAATGCTTTTTCCTTGCAGATCGAGGATAGGCAGGTTTTCGATATTGGTTCGACCTCCTTTTATTCGCCGTATCATCGCATAGGTCGTTGCTGGATCATGCTGCTTGATTGCTGATTCAATCTCGATGCTGGTTTCGTCCAAATATTCGATCTGACGTGCTTCAATGCGCTTTTTTGCCTTGTTGCGCAGGAGGCGGTATTTGCTTCGGTATCGACGCTCTTGATTGGTACCACGACGATTTTGCCATTCAAGGAAAGCTTTGACTTTCATGTCGACGATTTCCAATATTTCATCGGTCAGCCATTCCTTCTGTTTTCGGTTATTGTCGTCCAATTTGAAGATGTTTTGGCCAATGTTGTTAATATGCGTTGTAAATTCCGAGTATCTCGCATTGATTGTCACGTTATTTGGGCCCTTTGTTGATGGACAATTCATGAGTTCGGCCTGGAAAGCTTCGATACAGGCACCATTTTCCAGCTTTTTTCTATCCAGACGACCACATCGTTGTTTTTGTCGTTTTCTGCGGCTTTCCCGGTGGAGTTTGAGCTTGGTCACGAGTAGGTGATGGCCCGTTCCTATCGTACCTGTAGCCGCCCTGTGCACGCGCACATCCTCAACGCTCGATCTGAACTTACGATTGACGAGAGTATAATCGAGTGTGTGCCATTTCTTGTTCCCAGGATGCATCCAGGTGGTTTGATGTATGGATCTGTACTGGAAGAATGTATTGGTAATGATGAGGTCGTTTGCTGCACAAAAGTCCACCAGTCGTTGCCCATTTTCATTGATGTGATCGGTTGTATGTGGGCCAACCACATTATTACTGGTGTAGTTCTGTTGTTTTCCAATTCTCGCGTTGAAGTCACCCGTGATCAATAAGAGGTCTTTTGAGGGGACCGTACTTAACGTCTGCTGTAGATCGTTATAGAATTTGTCTGATGCTGTAGCAGCGGTTTTGTTACCGTTGGGATTGACTGGAGAATATACGGTGATGATCGTGACATTTATGGGCGTTCCCTGTAGTCGCACCATGACGATTCGTTCGTTGACTGCTTTCCAAAAGGCACCGATGTTTTTCCACGCCATCGTTGCTTCTTTACCAAGACAGATGACCACTCCATGTGCGGATCTTGTCCTGTTCTCCCTGGTAAGACCTGAATGAACCATTGTGTATTCACCCACTGTTGATACACCTGTGTAGTAGATGGCCGTTTCGCTCAGAGCAGCCACTTGCATGCGGTGTCTTTGCAGTTGTTTGATAATGGGCTGTTTCTTCGCCATTCGAAAGCACGATCGTACATTCCATCCACCGAAGAACGTGGTTTTACGTGCGTTGATGCACTGTTCTTGATCTTTTTCGTTAGCCAGTAAAGTTTTATGTCTCGTTGATAGGGGGCTAGCCTGACAACAAGACGGTGTGGCTACCAGCAGCCCAGGGGCGCCTCCCAATGCTGCATGCAGCTCCAGGACCCTGTAGATGTCAATGACATCCCTGGCAGACGTGCCGAAAGTAGATGTATGTCCTTACTCTAATTCTTCTAAGCACTGCTATTCTCATACACTTCGTTATTCCCATTCTTATCCTACACAACACCCAGGTTCATAATTTTAAAGAGATGTCAAGAGCAACGGGTATTAAAAATAAACAACGCTCGTCGAGGGAGACTCGCATTACCCTCGACTGATTGGGTTATACTTCAGATAAAACTTGCGCTTCCAAATGATGTCTCGGGAACGGTCCTCGTCAATTTCAACCTTTTTCAAAACTAACCAAACAACTGTCATCGTTCTTGTTATTTATGTAATGTCCATTATTCATGATCATTTTTCACACATGAAACAGCAGTCCGCTA